CACAAACATCAGCTATTTGCAAGTCTATCCGGCTAATTGGTTTTGAATTTATGGAGCTGTGTAACGATATTTATGTTTGTCGTTTTCCAACAACAAAAACAGCAACAACGACAAACGACCGACAACCAGCGACATTAACTATGCAGAAAATTGCAGCAATTTCTCAAATAAATACACAATAAAAATAAAACCTCAGAAAAAAGAAACTAGAAGAAATATCATGAAAAATTTAGATGATTGTTTTATTTCAATAGAATTAGATTGTGGAATTGAAAGTCGGGATAATAAGATATGATTTTAAATCTAAGTCTAATTGACTTATCTATGCTGAAAATATATAATTTTGAAAGCTAAAGTTTTCTTTAATTTAATTTCCCTTGGTAATATTTCTGTTATAAAAATGATTTCATACGTTCAATAAAAGTACGCTTTGTAAGCTGGGGTTAAAAACGTAATCATGCCCATCAACAGATGGCGTTGACGAAGTAGTGCAGAAGTTAAAAGAAAATTGATGTCATATGAAAGGTACAATCTTATGAAATAAATAACATTTCTAAATTAGTTGAATATTAATATGAAATTATGGAAGGGGTAATATTAAATGTCTTTAATTTCTATTATAGGTGGCGTAGGGGATGATAGATGGCAAGCAACGGCTCTGATTGACTTTAACGAAGTCCAGGCTTATCTTGGTCCCTCTTTCATCTCAATTGTGGACACGGACCTCCCAGCGGTGCCATCTGGGGAGCTATTTTCATCACCCCATGAAATAGGGATCTAATATGTGCAGCGAGTTCACCCATAAGAACTAGAAAAAAATGGGTTGAGGCGTAGGGTTAGTTTCCCACTCTCGGAAAACCCAACCTACTACGCAAAAGCAAAGAAAAAGGAAACCAAACCCCCCCAATGTTGGCGACCCCCGCAAACGTATAAAGGACCACGATCTGCGAATATGCACTTGGAATGTGCGCACGTTATACAGAACATGCGCAGTGCTCGCTATGGCGGATGTACTCAAGAAGTATAAATCCGATATTATTGCCTTACAGGAAATGCGATGGAAAGGGACAGGCGTAAGTAAATTAGGCGATTACGCCCTTTATTATAGCTGCCATGAAGCGGGACATGAATTTGGCTGCGGATTTATGGTTAACAGGAGAATAAAAGACCTCGTCTCCACAGTCACTTCAGTAGGTGAGCGAACTTCTATTCTTCTACATCAGTCTTATTTGCGCCCATGCTGAGAAGATAAGGATGAACAGACCAAAGACATATTTTACGAGCGCCTAGGAACAGCATATTATCGTTGCCCTGGCCATGACATTAAAATTCTGCTAGGAAATTTTAATGCAAAAATCAAAAGGGAAATTCAGGGGAAAATTCAGCCTCCATGAAGGAAAATCAGACAACAGCATAAGCTTGAATGACTTCGCGGCAGCAAAAAACATGGTAGTTAGCAGCACCAGATTCAAGCATCTCGATATACACAAGGCCACTTGGATTTCTCCCGATCGAACAACGAGAAATTAATGATAGACGGAAGGCATTCATCCAGTGTTGTAGACGTCCGATCGATCCGGGGAGCGAATATCGATTCGGACCATTACTTTGTGGCAGCCAAGGTACCCACCCGTCTTAATGTAGCAGCAAAGGCGCAATCTAATGTAACACGGAAATTTGACGTCGAAAATCTGCAAACGCAATAGATAGGAGAAGCCTATCGTCGTAATGCTACTGAGGCGAGAAACGCAGCGTATAGGGCAATCCTGCAGACAGTAGCAACACGTAATGCGATGGAGAATTATCGGAAGAAAAGGAGAGAGGAGAAACGTATTTTCAGAAAAAAGAAGAAAGAGCGTGAGCAAATCGAGATGTACAGGAGTCAGAATGAAGTCCGGAAATTTTACCAACGAGTAAAACACCAAACCGAAGGCTTTGGTGTAGGCTCATCCTCCTGTAGAGATGAAGAAGAAAACCTGGTGACACAAACAGACAGCGTGTTGAGGATCTGGACAGAGCATTTTGAAAAGCTTCTGGTATCAAATAGTAGCAGTGAAGTGAATACCCCAGAACCAATAAGAAATGACGGTCAGAAAAGCAATCAATCGGTTGAAGAATATAAAGCTATTATGGAAACTTTAACTGGTACAATGTCAGCAGTTAATGTCGGAAAGGACTTCTCGGAGCTCTTCAATACCAAATGAAGATTCAGACAAGTTTACAGTTTGTCGTATGACCTATTTAAAATCCTGCTGGAAAAGTTCATGCGAGATGCAAATGTGAACAGAAATGACACTCTGTACATTAAACAGCATAGGTTACTTGCCAACGCCGATGACATAATGGGTCGAACATTGTGAGCGGTAACAGCCACCTTTGAACGAATTAAGATAAAATCTACCAAAGTGGGGCTGACAGTAAATAGTGAGAGGACCAAGCTGATTGTATTAACCCCCAGAATGTCCAGTAGACTCGGACCAACTCTGGAACTTGAGTACTATAGCTTCGAGGTAGGTAAAGATTTTGTATACCGTCATAATAGTGTTGGCCAACAGTAGCTATTATGGAAAGTCCACTTCTCGCCACACCAAACTCATACTCTAGACTCTGATATTACCCATGTGTTGTATGGATCTGAAGCATGGGTACTTGCTCAAGCAGATGAGGCAGCTCTTGGAGTATTTAAAAGAAAAATTCGCCGGATGATCTATTGGCCGATATATTTTCTGACATCGACATAGTCAGACGTATTGAGGTGCAGCGACTACGTTGTCTAGGCCATGTTGTGAAAATGGATGAAGATGCCCCTCAAAGGCATGTCAAAGCGAGCCAAGCGAGTTCACACAGAAGGGGCCTTCCCCGAATCCAATGGAAGTATAAAGTAGAAGACAACATCTCGGAAAATGGTCTTTTAAATTAGATGAGATGCACACAAGTCCGACGCGCTTGGAAATCTTTTGTAAGATCAGCTTATGGAACAACCGTTCTTTCATAAGCCAAATAAGTAATTAAGTACCTTTAACTCGAATAGTGCTGTGATTATTTTTTTCGAATTTTGGGACGAAACTTTCAGCGTCTCTAGATTGTGGGTCACTGAGTCCAAATATTTGATTTGTATCCTTTTTTCTTATCAGGATAATCGTCAAGATAATTTTTTGGGCTGTGGCTATATGGTCATACTAGCACTGCTCGGATAAAGGTGTTTTTAGATGTTTAATTGATCGTCTTATGAGTGTGACCATATGCTCACGTTAGCACAGCTCGGGTTAATATGACACCCATATCATAAAAATATATTTTATACTTCAAAAGTTATCCCACAAATAAAATTACATTAAATTTCTGCAATTAATGTCAAACAATAGAGGGCGCTGGCTAAAACGTATTTTAGATTATTAATAACTCTGAAAAATCCAAACAGGGTTGCTTAGCTCAGAATAGTTTTTTCTTTTTGGTCATTCGAAATTAATTTGAGGGATCCTAATAACGTAATAATTGTATTCTATTTTGGAAAGACGGTACAGAAAATTACCTTAAGAAGTCGGAAATTTTTATAAGAACGACATTTATCGTTTCTAAGGATTATATTTGAATTTTTTATATGAATTGTTTGAAAGAAAGATCTTCTCACCTTACATTGTAAAATATAAATGATTTCTGCCAGCATGTAAACCATGGCTCATTGTCAGCGCCATATATTGATAGGCATGATTCAGAAAGGCAGATGTAAAAATTCAGTAGTTCAAAAGTTATGGTAAAGTTAAAGAAAATTTAAATTTTTGGCATTGCCGAGTTTGAATGATGCCAATCAGTAGATGGCCTTGATGATGGACCATTGCCAGGGTTGCCAAACTGTAAAAAAATCACACATATTTTATACGGTTCATAACTTGCAAATGCCTGGGAATATTTAGAAAATTCAAACAGGAATGTACAGCTTAGAATATTCGCTTTTAATTAGGCCATTGGGAATATATAATGTGGTTTTCGGTATTTTGTACACTTTTCAACCAGATTGTCTATAATTTAATATTTCGGATTCTCGTTGGGTACAAGTCTTCTTACCAAAAACTCCTTAGGCTACAATTCCGAGTTAGGCCCCATTATTTGGATTTTTGGACACGCCATTATCATGACCTTTAAAGTAATCAGCAAAAAGTTCATTACGCCATAACTCCAAAACATGACCTATGGCGAAGTTGTCCTTCAGGATTCTTAATATACTTACCAAGGACTTTAATCCCTATACGAAATATTATCAAATTTTCTTTTAATTAAACACATTTTTATTTTTAATAATTATTTAATTTTATTTCATATTTTTATTTAGTTCTATTTTTATATTAATTTTTTAAATTTATTTACAGATTTTATCTACTTACTTACAAAATATTTGTAGGTATTTTAAGTACATTAATGCAAAAATGCCTCTCTTACACGATTAGGCAAGTATCAGCATGATTGTTCGCGTTTGTTTTATTTAATTTCTATACACAATACAAAATGAACTAATATATAAATACCAAAAATAAAAAAAATACATTTTTAACAATTTCTAATCCCTAGCGAATTCCTATTTCGATAATAACAATTTGTCTAAATTGTCTCAGTCTTAACAAGATGATGATTGTGAGAGTGTTTGTGTGTTTGTGCGTGTGTGTATTTGTGATATCGTAGTTACAACATTTGGTGTTGATCTTCCCCTGAGTATTTCACTGCTGGTGCTGCTGTTTGGCGATAAATCATTTAACAGCAAAGTCTTTTTTATTTTTTCATAAAAATCTTAACAATTCTGCTCATCATGGTGGTGCATCGTCGTCGGTCATTGTTGTTGCTGTTGTTGTTGTTTGGCGTTATAACAATGTTGGGCAATGTTCACTGGGCCTTGGAGCAGTCTAACACAGCCTAAGGCATTAAATGAAATGAATTCTGCCACCTATGGTGGCAAAGTCAATTTTTGTTCATTCGTTTGTTTTTGTTGTTAACCTTAAAAAAATATTCCTAAACATAAACGGTGGACTATCTGTAGACGGTATTACGTTTCATATCGGAATTTTCCATTTTATGCAGAAGGATTTGTGAGCTACGTTTCACCGCTGAATCATGTTTATTCTTGCCATTCCCATCTAGAGTGTAATCGAAATTTGATTCGGTGTACAGGGGTTGAGAACGATGCACACCAGATGTGGAGGACGAGGCGCTACCCAAGGTGCCAATTGTAACCATTTCAGGATCAGGATTTAAATTGAGATTTTTCTCATTGACACGATCCACCAGGGAGGAGGTACTGTTCTTCAGTGGATTCATGTAACGCCGTAGATTTTCTTCATTTTGCAGATTGTTGGATTTTTCGGGATCTAAACGTGATGAATCGATGGAGGGTGTCAGATTTATGCCAGACGTGGAGTTGGCAACAATACGTTGGCGCCAAAACAAGCTAAGGAATATGGCCAGAATGACCAAGACAATGAAAATGCCACACAACACTGCAATGAGTAAATAGGTTTTGTTGCCCGTTTCAACTTTGACCTCAATTATGGCAGATTTCGAGTCGGAATGTACTGGAATGGAAAGAAAAAGAAAAAACATTGGACATTTGTTAATGAAATCGTGTTAAGTATTTTTAAACTTATTTTCAATTAAAATATTTAATTTTAAAATTGTAATTTTGGTAGTAAAATAAAATACTCACATAATTCACACTTGGCTCCATGACGATCGGGTGGACACACACATGTATATCCACCAATGCCATCAATACAAGTTCCACCACCTTCGCATGGATGGGGTGAACATTCATTGACATTTATACGACAATCGGGTCCCGAAAATCCTTTGGCACATACACAACGGAACCAACCGGAGCCTGATTCACATGTGGCTCCATTGTGGCAAGGTTGCCCATGGCACTGATCTTCAGGTTCATTACAATACGGACCAGTCCATCCGGAAACACAACGGCATTGTGCTGGCAAACTTTTATCCGACGAATTAGCCACACAACTGCCACCATTTTGACATTGGCCCGGGTAACAACCCACCGCAGTGGAAGTATTTTCCGAACAGGGTTTACCTGTAAAGTAGAAAGAAAAGAATAATAAAATAAATAAATACTTTTTTCAAGAGCTATACTAGACGTGATTTTTTGTATACCCTTCACCACACTGTGGTCCAGGGTATTATGTCTTTGTGCTTATGTTTGTAACAGGCAAAAGGAAACGAGATAGACACATGGTTCCTTTTGAGAATATGCATAGAATCACTTTCTGAGTCGATTTACACATGTCCGTCCATCTGTCTGTCCGTCCATGTATTTTTGTGAACAACGTACAGGTCGCATTTATGATCCGATTTGGATGAAATTTGGCACAGCTCACTTATTTGGCCCAAGGACGAACCCTTTTTAAAATGGAAAAAAGGGTTCAGATTTAGATATAGCTCCCATATATATTTTCGTCCGATATCATGTAAATGGTGTACCGAAGTCCCTATATATCTTTCGATTTGCACGAAATTTGGCACAGCGTAATGAATTAGGTCCAGAATGATGTGTGTTAAGTTTCGTGAAAATCGGTTCAGATTTAGATATAGCTCCCATATATATTTTCGTCCGATTTAATGTAATTGGTGTACCAAAGTCCACATATATCTTTCGATTTGCATGAAATTTGACATAGGGTACTGAATCAAGTCCAAGGACGAACCCTATTAAAATTGGGAAAAAATCGGATCAGATTTAGATATAGCTCCCATATATAGTTTTGTCCGATTTTATGTAAATGTTGCACAAAAATCCCTATATACCTCTCGAGTTGCACGAAATTTTGCATAGTGCATTGAATTGAGTCTAGAATGATGTGTGTCAAGTTACGAGTAAATCGGGTCAGATTTGGATATAGCTCCCATATATATTTGCGTCCGATTTAAGGTAAATGAGGTACCAAAGTTTCTATAAATCTTTCGATTTGCACGAAATTTGGCACAGTGTACTGAATTAGGTCTAGAATGATCTGTGTTAAGTTTCCAAAAAATCGGTCCAGATTTAGATATAGCTCCCATATATAATTTCGTCCGATTTAATGTATATGGTTCACCAAAGTCAAAATCGGTTCGGATTTAGGTATAGCTCCCGTATATATTTTCGCCCGATTTAATGTAAGTGGTGTACCAAAGTCCCTAACCAAAGTCCCCTTCGATTTCCACGAAATATGGCATAGCGTACTGACTAGAGTCTAGAATAATGAGTGTAAAATTTCTTGAAAATCGGTTCAGATTTAGATATAGCTCAGTATAGCTCAGTAAATATATCCATAGTGGTGAAGGGTATCATATAGTCGGCCCCGTCCGACTTTACTACTTTCCTTACTGGTTTCAAATATTTTTTTTTCGATAACTACTAATATTTTGTTCAAGACCTTTGTGAAGGCTTAGATTTTTTAAATATTTTTTCAAGACATTTATGAAGGCTGTGATTTTTAAAAACTTCTAAGTCTTATCAGAAATCATGGATTTAATTTTTTTCAAGTATTTTTTAAATACATTTTTTTGATTTTTATGTAAAATGTAAACTTGACACTTACCATTGCATAGCGACTGATTGTAGTTGGGAAGCAATTGCTCACAATGCTTTCCCGTTCGGCCGGGTGGACAATGGCAATAATAGCTGCCAGCAGTATTTATGCAGTGACCCACCAAGCAAGGTGAGGGTGAGCAGTAATCATTGGCCGCCTGGAAATAGAAAAATAAAAAAAAAAAAAAACAAATTTGATTAAAACATGAATTTTTATTTTATATCTTAATACAAAAAATAGTAAAATAAATGTTATTTGATACGTGTTTGTTTCATAAATCTTTTATTTCTTTAGAAAAATATCAACAAATTATCGTTTAAAAATTCTAGAAAATAGTTCACAATTTAATACAATTAGTAAGTGGAGTATAAAATAAATATTTGTTTGGTTAATTTTTGGCAAACGTTATAAAAACAAATTACTGTTGTATATTAATTAAAGTGGAAATATACTGCCCATAAAACCTGAAATCTCTTTGACAAAAATTGTCACTGTACAACTGAATGTTTCTATTTCATCATTTTATTACACAAAATTCCTTAGAGATTTCTAAATGCAATTATGTCTTATTGCTCGAGTATGTGTCGCAGAATACTAATGAGCTATCATTACACATAAAATTGAAAATCAAAACAAAAATGATGTAATTAAAGTAATTAACAAGTGTTTTACGCATGTCTATCAAAACCATTACATACAACATCATGTTTGTTTCTTAAGTCTTTTGTTTTAGATAATTTGTAAACATTTGAAATAATTCGCTAAGGAATGTTTTCTGTAAATGAAATCGAGTTTGATGTGTAATTGAGATCAACATTTTTAGATACAAGTCAATTTAAACCAAAACAACAAATACAAACAAATTGTTAACAAAATAAAATCAGTGGCACACGCACACACACTTACCTCACACAATGGCCCCGAATATCCCAGTGGACAAATGCAATTAAATTTACCAATCATATCAACACATTCGCCACCGTTGCGACATGGCGAATTGGCACATTCGTCGATATCGATTTCACAATGACGACCTGGTTGCGGAGAGAGAGAGAGAGGGGAAGAAAGAGATGAATAAAAATAATTAGTTAAAAGACTCAACAATGTTTTAAAATTTAATTGAAATTTTAATTGAAAAAATCTACTAATATATAAGGCGTTGATTTTTTAATATTTTTCAATATTTTTTATAATATTTTTTCAAGCTCTTATACAAGGCGTAGATTGTTTAAAATATTTTTTCAAGCTCTTATACAAGGCGTAGATTGTTTAAAATATTTTTTCAAGCTCTTATACAAGGCGTAGATTGTTTAAAATATTTTTTCAAGCGTAGATTTGTTTACCCACCTGTAAAACCTGCTGCACATTTACAATGATAATCATTTACCAAATCCATGCATGTAGCACCATTTTGACACTGACCCACGCAATCATCGAAATTTTGTGCACACGTTGGACCACCCCAACCATCTAGGCAAACACATTGAAACGAACCCGGCAGATTAATGCATTGTCGGGCATTAACACAGGCACCGATGGTGGTCGGCGGAGTGTTGTTGGTCGTTGTCGTCGTAGTCATCGTGGTAGCCAATGTTGCATTACCAATTGCCGTTAACGATGAAGATGCTGCATTCAAGGCAGCAATCAATGCTAACGAAGGTGATGTAGAATGGGCATACGCTGAGGCTGTAACCGCTGCCGTGGCAGCAGCCGTTGAAGTGGGCTGGTTGTGCGAATACGGAGGATAGGCGATTTCGCATTCATTTACATCCGTTTGACATACATCGCCTGTCCACTGGGGTGGACATTCACAACGGAAACCACCGATTAGATCTATACAAGTGCCGCCATGTTCACAAGGGCCACCAGCACATTCATCAATATCTGGAAAAAAACGAAGAAGAAAGAGAACAATGGAGATAAGTATGAAAAAAAATACAACACATACTCAATGTTAAACATAGTTTTAAAGTGCTTAAACAAAATAAGATGAAGAAGACAAAAAATAAACAAATAACATTGTATGAGATATGCAAAAGATCTTTTGGCCATTCTCCTCTGCCGGGGTTTTGTTTATCTCCTTCACATAATCAAGTGTCCATTATGGCCATCTTGAAGAGGATGACTTTTTTCCACATTCTAAGTTGTTGGTGGGGCAAAGTTGAAACTTTGATGACTTGAATGATGTGTTTCTTCTAAAGTGTAGACAGTTTTATCTAGTTTTTAGTAATCTAATGATTGTCTTTTTGGCTTTCTTTCTTTTTTCCCCCATTTTCCCTCAGTGACAGGCAATTTTCCATTTGTAGAATTGTTGATATTCCATCTCGAGTATTTGTTGCGTGATGTCTCTAAGACAAATAGCATTAGCTGTTCAAATGCAAGGTGCATTTGAAAGATTTCTTGACAACAACTGCAACAACAACCACGACAAGAAAAACAAAACTCATTTTAATTTGTTTATGCTAAAGAATTGCAGACCACCTGCTGTGCTATTTTATTTATTTGCCATTTCAGCGGATTTCTATATTTGTTGGCTAGTTTTCGCAAGTCATACATTAAGACATAAAATGACATGAAAAACATTACAGGAATAAATATATTTGTAGATATGGAAAGTTTTGCAAACTTCTCACGAAATTTGAAGGGAGATCGTATATTTTTTCAAGCCTTAATAAAAGGCGTATATTTTTAAAAATATTATTCCAAGCTTAGGTATGAGGCGTGGATTTTTTAAAATATTTTTTCAAGCCTTAAACAAGACATAGATTTTTATACCCTACACAACTATGTTGTCAGGGTATTATAGCTTTTTGTAGCCCCAAGAGTTTGTAACGCCGCGAAATGTTGGTCCTAGACCCTGAGTCGATCTAGACATGAAGGCCCCTATTGTTTTTGGTAAAGATCGGTTAATATTTGGGGGATGTAATGGACCAAATACTAAATTTTTATCAGTTTTTCTGGTCGCTCTAGAGGCCGCAATTAGGACCCAAACATCGCGAATTTTTACATAGAGAAGGGGATCGGGCCAAAGAATAAGCATGCCTGTTTTGATATGGATCGGTCAACATTTAGCGGGTCAAATGGACCTGACTTTTGTGTGAAAAATTACAAAATTTGTATTCTATAGCGTATAGATTTATCCCTGAAGGACTTAGACCCGAAAAGTTGTTGGTATATTCAAGGGCACTGGTTGACCCTTAAATTGATACCAATTGTATGGTCGTATGCACTCAGATGTGGGAGTTACACTTAAACATTTACAGGTGCTTATGTATTCAGATATTTTTTAGTAACCCTTTACCTGACTAGAGGGCGGAAATATAGCGCTGATCGCTTTAAAATGTTCCATGAAGTTCCAGTTATGGTCAAGGATAACGCCTTAAATTTTCGATGACGATCGGTTCAGATTTAGATATAGCCCCCATATAAAATTTTATCCGATTTAAGGTAAATGGTGCACCAAAGTCCCTATATAACGGTTGATTTGCCCGAACTTTGGCACAGCGTAATGAATTACTTCTAAAATGATGTGTATTAAGTTTCGTGAAAATCGGTTCAGATTTCGATATAGCTCCCATATATAATTTCGTCCGATTTTATGTAAATGGTGCACCAAAGTCCCTATATATCTTTCGATTTGCACGAAATTTGGCACAGCGTACTGAATTAGGTCTAGAATGATGAGTGGAAAGTTTCGGGAAAATCGGTTCAGAGTTCGATTTAGCTCCCATATATATTTTCGTCCGATTTTAGGTATCTAGTGAACCAAAGTACCTATATATCTTCCGATTTGCACGAAATTTGGCATAGCGTACTGAATTAAGTTAAGAATGATGTGTGCAAAGTTTCGTGAAAATCAGTTAAAATTTAGATATAGCTCCCATATATAGTTTCGTCCGATTTAAGGTAAATGGGGCATTAAAGTTCCTATATATCTATCGATTTGCACGAAATTTGCACAGCGTAATGAATTAGGTCTAGAATGATGTGTGTTAAGGTTTGTGAAAATCGGTTCAGATTAACATATAGCTCCCATATGTATATTCGTCAGATTTTACATAAATGGTGCACCAAATTGCTAATGTTTGTCCGATTAACACGAAATTTTGCACAACGTATCAAATTAAGACGTTAATGGCGTTATTGCCTTTTTTTTGAAATTGGTGCATATATATGCGATTTAAGGAAAATGATGTACCAAAGTCCCTTTATGTCGTTCGATCTGCACGAAATTTTGCACAGCGTATTTAATTAAGTCTAGAAAGATGTGTGTTAAATTTCGTAAAAATCGGTTCACTTTTCGATATAGCTCTCATGTATATTTTTGTCCGATTTTACATAAATGGTACTCCAAACTCCTCATGTTTGTCTGATTAACACGAAATTTTGCACAACGTATTAAATTGTGACTTGAATGACGTTATTAGGTTTTGTTGAAATTTATGCAGATGCAGCCATAGCTTCCACATGCATTTCGAACGGGTGTCTGATTGAAGCTAAATTTTTAACAGTACGGCGTACCGAATAGCGTATATCAATTTTCCTATAAATCGTTTCCATAAATTTGTCCCATGGTACACACACGATTCTACATCTGTCCGAATGAAATTAAATTTATCATCGATTGCAGAAAGACATCAGTGTGTGCCTTCGAGGGAACATATACCCAAATTGATGAAGGGTATTATAATCGGCCCAGTCCGACTTTACTGCTTTCCCTACTAGGTTTTTCTTTTAATCACTGTGAGATTTTTTTACATTTTAAACATGCTCTAAACTTTCAAATATTTTTTTTTTTGGTTTTTGTAATTTTTCGACTTTTCACATCTTCACCCATTTATTTGCGGATTATAGAAGAGGAAGAAAACTGTCATTTGTTTGGTAAATATTTTTACAATGCTGTAGCAAATGTCTAAGTACGTGATTATTATTAAATTGAACAAGTCTCTATCTATTGTGTGTGTAAATGATAAATGTGTTTGTGACATTGGGTGACAAATGTGCTAAGAGGGATTTGCATATAGAATATGTGTGTGTGTATGTGCGATTTTTATTTCTTTTGAAAGTTCGATTTAAGAAGAAGGCGCATGCGCGTAAGGAATTTTAAGTTTTATGGTAACAAAGAATACGGCATGTAAGTAAAAGTGGGTAACAGTCAGTTAGAAGAGAAATATGGGAACGAAATTGTGTTTGAAGTCTGATATTTTTTTAACTTCCAGTGGTAGCTATGAAAATAAGGAAAATTATTATGGAATAACTGGAAAAAAGCTTTGAAAGCTAACTGAAATAATATATTCCTCTATTTGCCTATATAACTAAATTATCCAATCCACTGATTAACATGTTCCCAACCCTAAGTAATTGACAATTACAACCGTTTTAAATTACATTGAAGTCAAATCTGACTCCATCTATTTCACAAAGCCATAACAACCCATAAAAATTCCATTTAATCCCATTTCCCAAAAAATGTTGATGCACCTGATTGCTGCACTTATTTTTTAAAAGCAAAGCAACTCCTCTTATTTAAAAATTTCCCCACAAAAAAGTTTCCTACTAATAAAATGAAAGAAAAACAAACAATTATTTGTTGATTTTCTTGTCAGTTTTTTTCCTTCAATTTCGAAATCCCGCTGCGTTCACTATAAACAAAAAAAAAAATAAAAACCTTTCACTTAAATTAACAACTTTATGCTAAGACATTCCTAAATGTGCGCATGCGTTTAATCTGGTTTTTAAAGTCAAAACAAAAGCTTGAATTCGATTTGTTGTTGCTGTTGTTTTGAAGTTTCTTTGACGGGGTCCATTTCTCATAAAAAAACCGAATCCATTGAGATACCAAACTCATTGCATGAAAAACGTTTTTAAACGATTTTTTTTTCTTTTGTATGGCATTTTATTAGTTTGATGCTCTCTCGTCCATTGTTTATGGCTTTGCAATTGAAATTGAGGAAAAACCAAGTCAAAAACAAAAACATCCTGTAAAGATTGGCGTTGTTTGTTGTTGTTGCTGTGGAACCGTTGTTTTGAGATAATTATTCAAAGATTCAATTTTTGTTTGTGTGTTGCTTTTTTGTTTTCCAATTTGTTACCAATTTCACAAAAACACACAAGACATGTTTGAAACTTGGTTGTTTGTATGACCGTGTTGTGGTTTGATGGTTTATCTATGGGTTGTATGATGCATGTAAGGCAAATAGTGCACCTCATTGAGACGAGAGTTTTATATGCACATATATATGATTGGATATGCCGTTGGGGAATAAAATTTGGGGATGACAACTCCTGAAGTCACTATACAATAATTTGATCATTAAGGCCTTAAACAATATTTTTCTAAACATATATATTTTTTAAATCCAATTATAAGGCGTATTTTTTTTAAATAATTTTTAAGTCTAATTTGATTCAAGGCGTTGGCTTTTTTAATTATTTTTTTCAAGCCATAATTCGAGGCGTAGATTTTTTAAATATTTTTCAAGCCGTCAGCTCGTCTATAAATACACCCTTCATATTGTCTACACGAACTCTCTACAGTGCGTCTATAAAAGCCACATTTAGCTTTATAACGGCTCATCCAACTGGGCTATAAAGATGTATTGATCTTTAGGTGGCCTATGAAGACTCCCAGATCTACAGCTCGTCTATAAAGGCCCCCACACACACAGACTGCCTTTAAAACTCCTGGTGTAGCGTATCCTCTACTATTTATTTGCTGTCTTTCATCTTGCATTTTTTCTCCACAACATTGTATCCCAAAATGCTTCCACTTTGCATGACCAATACTGCTGTATTGGAATATTGTTATTGAAAAATATAACTACCTGTTATGTATATTTTTGAAAACTTTATACGTTTTGAATGAATTGATTTGGATTTTATCAAAATGTAATGTTAATAGTAAAAATTGACCAGGTTATAAAACATTTTATATGGTATTGGATCACCATTTATATTTCAGTTTTTTTTTTCATAAAATAACATCAAAAATATATTCGATTTTAATTTCATGGGACAAATTTAACATTTATGGACAACATCAAATGCTGTCTCTCATATCTTGTTGTTTGTATGTATATTGTAAATGTAATTTCAAAACAAACAAACATTACCTCACAATGCAACCAAAACTTCAAAGCTGCTGGTGCTGCTGTCAGTTACTCTGCTTGTGTGGCTAATGCACTTTGCGTTCGTTTCTTAAGTCTTTCGTTTCGTTATGAACATCAACACTTAACTTTGCATGTTCGCCAAATATTTAATACACATTTCGGATTTGTTGTGCATTTATTATTATTAACAATATTTTGTGATTGCATTTGAGTGTTGTTGTTGTTATTATTATTAATATCATTCATTGCATGTTCGCATATCAATGAATGAATGAGTGTTGTGTTGAATATTTCACATGAACAAGGAAACTATGAATTTTTGTTGTGGCCAGTCCAAAAAATTAAAAATGTGCATGTATTAGATTTTTTGTATAATTACCTAAACATGTAAATAGTTTTGTTTTTTGTTTTTGAGAATATCTGGGTCAAAAATATAAACAAAGTGAGGGTAAGGTGTACAAGAGAAAAAATTGAAATGACAGTCCAATTGAAGGTTTGTTGCTTAAGTCTTTCGTTCTGTAATGTAATTTTATGTAATTCTATATGTATGCAACTTACTTATCTCACAGGTGGGCCCAGTCCATCCCAAGGCACAGGCACATGTAAATTCCGATACTGGCGGCTTTTGTGGTAGTATATTGGAGACAAGTGTTGAAGAATTTCCGGCAAGTATTGGCATATTACGTCTGTTAACCGGCTTTCCCATGGCCGAACTCATGCCTCGCATTACCCGGAAGGATGGCAAGGAGGTACTGTTGCGTATGGGAGATTCCTGGGGGAAGAAAATGAAAAAAAAAATATTTTCATTTAAAGAAAAATTTTTCTATAAACATGTTGCGGATACAAAAATGTTGCCAAGGTACTTTTTCTATTACAGAAAATGTAGTCAAGGTAAAATTTTATATAAGGGACAATGTCACCAAGGAAATGTTTTCTATTAGAGACAATGTTGCCAAAGCAATATTTTCTAAGGCACAATGTTGCCAAGGCAATATTTTCTTTAGGGACAATATTTCTATAAGAGAAAATGCTTCAAAGGCAATATTTTCTATAAGAGAAAACATTTTATATAAGAGTAAAATATTCCAGAAGAGAAAATGTTGGCAACACAATATTTACTATTAAGGAAAATGCTAAGGCAATAGTTTCTATAAGGGAAAATTATCCAAATGCGGAAATGTTGCAAAGACAATATTTTTAATAAGGGAAAATGTTGCAGAGGCAATATTTTCGACAAGGGAAAATGTTGCGGAGGCAATATTTTCGATAAGGGAAAATGTTGCGAAGGCAAAATTTCCTATAGGGAAAATGTTGCGGAGGCAAAATTTCCTATAAGGGAAAATTTTGCAGAGGCAAAATTTCCTATATGGGAAAATGTTGCGGAGGCAAAATTTCCTATAAGGGAAAATGTTGCGGAGGCCAAATTTTCTTATAAGGGAAAATGTTGCGGAGGCCAAATTTCCTATAAGGGAAAATGTTGCGGAGGCCAAATTTCCTATAAGGAAAAATGTTGCGGAGGCAAAATTTTCTATAAGGAAAAATGTTGCGGAGGCAAAATTTCCTATAAGGGAAAATGTTGCGGAGGCAAAATTTCCTATAAGGGAAAATGTTGCGGAGGCAAAATTTCCTATAAGGGAAAATGTTGCGGAGGCAAAATTTCCTATAAGGAAAATGTTGCAGAGGCAAAATTTTATATAAGGGAAAATGTTGCCGAGGCAAAATTTTCTATAAGGATAATGTTGTGGAGGCAAAAATTTCTATAGGGGAAAAGGTTGCGGAGGCAAAATTTTCTATAAGGGAAAATCATTGGTAGGCAAAATTTTCTATATCGGCAAATGTTGCCGAGGCAAAATTTTCTATATCGGCAAATGTTGCCGAGGCAAAATTTTCTATATCGGCAAATGTTGCCGAGGCAAAATTTTCTATATAGGCAAATGTTGCCGAGGCAAAATTTCCTATATAGACAAATGTTGCCAAGGTAAAATTTCTTATATAGACAAATGTTGCCAAGGTAAAATTTCTTATATAGGCAACAGTTGCCAAGGCAAACTTTTCTATGTAGACAAATGTTGCCGATATTTTTTATGAAAATGTGGCATATAAAATATTTCCATATCAAATATAAAATACCATTTAAATATCTCACTTACCTTCACCGTACACGAACCACCATTTTTACACGGCTGAGTGGCACATGGATGTTCAATAATTTCACAACGTTCGCCAGACAAACCCTCTGCACATGTGCAACGAAAACGATCAGGTGCGGTATTTTCACATGTACCACCATGTTTGCAGGGTTCATGAGTGCCGCAATAATTCAAATCTATGGCCATGAAAAATCACACAAAAAAGAGAACAGAACAGGAAGAAAATATAAATTATTAAATATGCAGAGAAATAAATTCACATCGAACTTGAAATCAAAGCATACAAAAAAAGAAAACCGTTGAATTTTTATTGTATGCAGAAAAACAGATTACAGTTTGAGTTTTTCTCTAGTTCTTAATGTAGATTTGATTACAATTTTGCATTCCCCTTTCAATGTAAGTGTGTGTTTTTTGTATGCTTACAAAAAGTTCATTGCCTTACCTTGATCACACAGTATACCGCCCCAATTAGTATCACATTTACATTTCCAGGCCTCTCCGTAACATGAGCCATGCTTGCAGCCGGGATATACAACGCATTCATTGCAGAGGGGGCCTTGCCAGCCAGGACGACAACTGGAAGATAAATAAATTTTGGAATGATTAAGATTAAAAAAAATATTTTATGTTATGATATATTTTAGTTATTAAAAGAACATATTGCGAACAAAAAAATATTTTTTATAGAAAATAGACGGTATTCGGATTCGTAGTCGACATATATTTTCTCATGTTCACACCTTATCATAACGTGAAATTGCCCTCCACTTCCCCCACTGTGTAAAAAATAAAACAAAAGTCAGTTTGAAGTATGCAAACGCCCCAAAACCGAGATGAATCAATGTTTACAAATCATTTTCGAATTTCGTGAGAATTGAACTTTAACGGCGACATGGTTGGTAGTCGTTTTGTTGTTGTTGGTTTTTCGTATTGGATTTTAATGAAAATAAACTGTGTCACTTTATTTTCCGAACAATTTACAATATTTCAACGCCATCGCTGACAATAGTAACACAAAACGTAACAAAATAAACAGAGGAGAAGAAAAAAATCCGCCAACTTAAACCATGGAACAACAACTACGAATTCATCATGTCATCCAATGTTGAAATGGCTTTTGAATACAGGCCCCAAACAAAAAAAAAAATAAAAAAAAACAGATCGTTTAAGTCCGATACAATACAATTCGAACGAAATGAAACGAAACGAAAAGGAAAAAAGACGTCACCAGCTAAGCAAACAAATTCAACTATTTTCAATTAAGCTTTTCAACACGCTCAGGTAATGTTTTGTCAGACTGACTGCTTAAGGTTGGTGTTTTTTTTTCGTTTCGCTCCATCTTATCCTCCTCCTTGGGATAGAAGAAGGAATTCTAAAACCCAAGAAGCATGATCTGCACACTAAGCATGATTTTTTTGTAGTTTTAGTTTGGGTTTTTTCTTGTTACCGTTCCCTTTTGTCGATCTGAAGAATGCTATGCAAATTTTTGTGTGGCAACAGAATACGCCCTTAGTCTTAGCCAGAGGAACAAAACATTTGCATCCTTTGAAGTTGTTCTAAATCACAAAAGGACGTTAAGTTTGAAAAAAATGAAACATGTTGCATGTTGTTTCTCGTTTGTTCTTCTTTTTTTGCTGAGTTTTTGTAGTGCTGAAGTAATTTGATTAAATGTTCGGGAACACAAAAAACAACGAAAGCCATAACGAATGTGCAGATTTAGGTTAGGGATTTTTCCGTCAGGGGAAAATACACTTGGAAAATTCGATAATGTTGCAATGAAATATTTACTATATGAAAAAAATTGCCTTGGCAACATTTGCTATTATACAGAAAATATTACCTTGCCAACATTTGCTCCTAAACAAAAATATTGTCTTGCTCCTCTATAGAAAATATTTACTTGGCAACATTTGCTCCTCTATAAAAAATATTGCCTTAGCACCATTTGCCAATCTATAGAATACATTTGTTGCTCTACAGAAAATATTGCCTGGCCAACATTTGTTGCTCTACAGAAAATATTGCCTGGACAACATTTGCTCCTCTACAAAAAAATATTGCCTTGGCAACATTTGCTCTTCTACAAAAAATATTGCCTTGGCAACATTTGCTCTTCTACAAAAAATATTGCCTGGACAACATTTGTTGCTCTGCAGAAAATATTGCCTGGGCAACATTTGTTGCTCTACAGAAAATATTGCCTGGGCAACATTTGTTGCTTTACAGAAAATATTGCCTGGTCAACATTTGCTCCTCTAAAAAAAAAAATATTGCCTTGGCAATATTTGCTCTTCTACAAAAAAATATTGCCTTGGCAAAATTAAAAAAAATCTATAAACGAAACTGTTGCAGACGCCAAATTGCCTACAAAGGAAAATGTTGCAGACGCCAAATTGCCTATACAAAAAGCAAAATTTTCTTGAAAGGAAAATGTTGCAAAAGCAAAATTTCCTAGAGAGGGAAATGTTGCAAAAGCAAAATTTCCTAGAGAGGGAAATGTTGCAAAAGCAAAATTTCCTAGAGAGGGAAATGTTGCAAAAGCAAAATTTCCTAGAGAGGGAAATGTTGCAAAAGCAAAATTTCCTAGAGAGGGAAATGTTGCAAAAGCAAAATTTCCTAGAGAGGGAAATGTTGCAAAAGCAAAATTTCCTAGAGAGGGAAATGTTGCAAAAGCAAAATTTCCTAGAGAGGGAAATGTTGCAAAAGCAAAATTTCCTAGAGAGGGAAATGTTGCAAAAGCAAAATTTCCTAGAGAGGGAAATGTTGCAAAAGCAAAATTTCCTAGAGAGGGAAATGTTGCAAAAGCAAAATTTCCTAGAGAGGGAAATGTTGCAAAAGCAAAATTTCCTAGAGAGGGAAATGTTGCAACAGCAAAATTTCCTAGAGAGGGAAATGTTGCAACAGTAAAATTTCCTAGAGAAGGAAATGTTGCAAAAGCTAAATTTCCTAGATAGGAAAATGTTGCAAAAGCTAAATTTCCTAAATAGGAAAATGTTGCAAAAGCCAAAGTGTCTAGAAAGGAAAATGTTAAGGAAGCCAAATTTTCTCTCTGTGTCTTCTTTGTGGAACTTTTTGTTCATATGTTCAAACACATATTGTCTATTACATTTAACAGACATTAGTTCATGTCTCGGTTTGAAAGAAAACCATACTGAAAGCCATACATGTCAACGTTGCATGTTTAACAACGGGTGGTACCTAATTAAACAGATGAACAAAGTTTTCACATATGTTTTTTTGGGAGAAGACCAAAATAAAGTCCTTTTTTGCTGCAACACAACTGATAACAAAACTGAAATGCCGCTACTTGAAAAAAAAGAAATCCCCGCGAAACACAAATGGTGTTGAAGTCATTGAATGATGGTGCAAATGATGACATGATCTTAAGGTTACAAAAAACAAAATCAAGCAACAAAACTACATCAAATTTGAAACAAACTCTTCTTCAAAGTCTAACCAGAAAAAATCTCATGATTTGTTGGTGCTTTTTTTCGGCATATAATTTAGTTTTGTTTCACAGCTTGTTAGCGGATTTTTTGTTTTGTTTTTTATTTCCCTTTTTTAGCTTTCGTTCAAAGAGTGACTAATGAGCCAAACAAATGACAAATTTTTGCCCTTAAACTTTACTGTGTTCGGTGTTGTTTTGTGTGTCTCATTGGGTTCCCTGGCTAACAACATGCCTGACTGTCTGTCCATCCTGTCTTGATGACTTTTAGTCTTCAGTTAACTGCTTGTATTTGGCATGATTTTATGGCTGACTGTTGAGTAAATTCAAACATTATAACAGAAAAAACCCCGAACTTCTGTTTTACTTTGGGAAAATGTCGTTTTAGTTGTGTTTTTGTTAATGTTGTCGTCTTTTTTCTGGGGGGTTTTCAAAACACTAACAAATTTTTATGTTTGCCAAAAAATTTGTTGGAAATCATGTTTAACGGTTCAACATTATGCAAATTACCAATTTTATTCGTTACAAATCGAAATGAAATAAGATTTATTTTTTTTTGGTTGAAATTGAGAAAAAAAAGATAGAAACAACATCGAAAGGAATTTTTTTCATAAAAATATATTGCTTTAAAAACGTGGTCTTATAGAACATTATTCATTCAAACTTCTTTAGAAAAAAGAAAAAAAAATATTCGACAAAAAATGAAATTAGTAACCGATATGTATCCAGGCTTCATTTGAAACATGTTTTTAGAGCAACTCCTGCAATAGCAACAATGTTACGGATAAAACATGTTCCTTGGGAGTATGTTGCAGTTAAAATTTTTTTTCATTTAGAAATGTAATGCGGGGTGTTATTTTGTTAGAAAAACATTGCGGAAATTAACTTTTTTCCAGTGAGAAATGTTGAGAATAAAATATGTATACAGGAACATGTTGCCAATGAAATATGTCCCTGGAGACAATGTTGCAAAAGAAAATAAGTCTCCAGAGGTAAAGTTATTAAATAAAATGTTTCGAAAAATGTGATATTGAATAATGGTTCGGGTTTGATACATAATTTATTTAGCCAATAATGTATTTTTCTTGAGACAATGTTGCGTATCTTCCTAGACAGAATTTTGCGACTAATTTTATTTATCAAGAAATGTTGCCAAGGCAAGGCAACATATTTCATTGCGGATATGTTGCCAAGGCAAGGCAACATATTTCATTGCGGATATGTTGCCAAGGCCGTATACTTTATATTAGGAAATTTTCCAATGTCCATATCGTCTATATTAGTAAATGTTGCGAAGTAAATATTTTTGATGCCGACGAAAATGTTGCCGAAACAATATTTGTCATATGATAAAATGTTGCCGCGGCTATATTTTCAATATCACATAATATTTGGATATGAGATTTTGTTGCAAAGGAAACATTTTTCGACGAAATTTTGCAGCGATATATTTTTTAAATTCGGAAATCATGCAAAAGCTATATTTTCTATATGAAGAAATGTTTCCAAGGTAAAGTGGCTAAGGATTTTTGTTTGTATGTGAGTAAATGTTGTCAAGAAAATATTTTTATTTATTTTTTTTTAATAAAAATCTATTTTTCCTAAATCAAATATTTTATTCATTATATACTTTTAAATCAATCCCCAATGCCTGTGTCCTAATTTCCCATTAAATGAATTAGCAATGACCTAAAAAAAGTACATAAATCACTCCCACTTAAAAGGGGTCACTGCGGAGATGAGATGTCTGCCAAGTACTCTTACAAGATTGCCAAAATAATAAAATCCGAAGAAGAAGATGATTGCTGATTATGGTACTTATTTTGGTAAGACATCTAAAACTTTGTTACAAAAAAAGGTTTGCCTTTTAACTTTTGACACCCACGTAAAGGAACAAAAAAACAACAAAGCAGCACCACTGGTCATGCTAGTAGTTTTTCGAAACTCCAAAAACTCTCAGCACTTTATTAGAAGAACTAAAGGGAAATCTCATTCCAAACAAAATGGCGTTCTTGTCTTGAACACAAAAAAAACCAACCTTAAAAGTTCACAAAGAACTCAATTCTCCACAATTTTCGCAAAAAAATGGAAAAAAAAGCACAAATTGTTGTTAACATCTCATAGATCTTCATGTCGGTCAACGATTCTAGGTCGAATCTTAACTAATTGCAGTCTAAGAGATATAATCATAATTTATTATTAAATATAGTTGCGGGTTAGATAGAAGCGCAGCGCAATGGTTTACCAATAACAGAACACTAAATTTAGACCAAATATCAAAAGTAATTGCATTAAGTGGGGAGGTGGGAGCCAGAAGAGCAATAGTTTGGCATTGTTGTGGCATAGCATCTAAAACTGAAATCATAAACTATGTCTATGATGAGATTTGAAGTTTTTGGACTTTTTATGGGATGTCCAAAGTCAGTTTTGTTGTTGTTGTTGTGGCTTTTCATGAGTTGTAGCCAAGAAAAGGAAAACACAGCAAACGAGAATTTCTGTGTGAGCAATTCACAATAAAATCACGTATTCTGTGTTACACCATTTTCAATGTTCAACATTTTTTTCCATTGAGGAGAAGAAAAATACCAACAACAATAATAAAATCACATAAATGCTGGTTCGTGCATACAACAACGAACGAGAAATCTCCCTCCTCAAACGCAAATGTTGTAAAAAATGGTAACAAACAATAATGAAAACAGATTTACAGAACCTCCTCCTAACCACCCTAGACAGCAAAAAAAAAAAAAAAATTAAAAACTAAACTTTTAAAAATACAATAACAACATGATAAAATTATGCTGCAGAAACAACAAAATTTGTGGAAAAAATAAGACCAGCTTTTCGTTAACAACAATCGATGAATGTTTGCCTTCTGCTCTCCATCAGCCAGTGATGATGTTCGAAATGATGATGAAGCTGCTTACCATGGTAGCCAGTACAAATATCAATGCTGCTATATTGTTGTCTAGTAGATCTGTCGATATTGTGGCCAAAGTAATTTAAATCAAAAACAGATTTGTTGGTGTTTTTTTTCGTTTTATTTTACTTCGCGAATGGGCAACAACAATACCAAAACTAGTTAAGTTAATATCAGTAGCTTGCCAAAATAACAAAACAACAAAATTTCATAATATTTTTTTGTTTTCTGGTCATGTTATTCTCCATTTTTAATGGCATTTGGCTCCACCCACAAAGTTTGGAGGAAAGAAAAAAACAATAACAAAGAAACGATGGTAAGAATATAACAAGCTAGGTTTTTTACTCATTAATATAAACAATAAAGGGAACAACAACAACGAACATAATGTTTTGTTTTTAAATTTGAAGAGGTTGCCTTAGATAATGAAAAAAATATATATTCTTCAATAGAAACTGTAACGTGGTAACATATTTCATATAGAAATTTAGAAATTTTTCCCTCTGCAACATTTCCCCTTATTTTGCTTCCGCAACATTTTCCCTTATAGGAAATTTTGTTTCCGCAACATGTTCCCTTATAGGAAATTTTGCTTCCGCAACATTTTCCCTTATAGGAAATTTTGCTTCCGCGACATTTTCCCTTATAGGAAATTTTGCTTCAGCAACATTTTCCCTTATAGGAAAATTTGCTTCCGCAACATTTTCCCTTATAGGAAACTTCGCTTCCTCAACATTTTCCCTTATAGGAATCTTTGCTTCCGCAACATTTTCCCTTATAGGAAATTTTGCTTCTGCAACATTTCCTCGTTTATGAAAAGTTGCTTCTGCAACTTTCTCATGCATTTAGAACACTACAAATTTTTTCCTCATAGAAAATATATCCTTTGCAACATTTTACTTTTTAATTAAATTGATAAATTTCTAAAATTTGTCTACTTACACACACTCCCCCGGCTTATCACAACGGCCATGGACCGGGTCACATCCCAATTTACAAACAGCCTTTTCACAATTATCACCCATCCAGCCGTTCATGCAGATTTTCTCGCCCTCCGGTCCGCATGTGTAATGGCCAAATTGATCATTGCGCGGACGACAGAACGTCGTACAGGTGGTATTGTAATAGGTGGCTGCACACTGAACTCTGACACGATAGGTAATGCGAGCATTGCGTCCAATATGATCCAATGTCTTCCATTCGGGTGAAGGTAAAATCACGCTGGCAAAAGATGTTTCCTCAATTAACCTTTCCGAATCTAGAAAGGGAAGAAAAAAGAAACAGACAAGAAGCAAATTAAATTGAGGTAAAGGAACGTCCATACATGTTAGGTGGTGATGTGCATGGAGAGCTGATGATGATGGGAAGACTGTGTTTCTATTTTCTAAATAACATCGAATGGGTGGTGATGTTTTTTGTTTTGTAAGAAAATGGAAATTGTTGTAATGTCAGTTACGTGGAAGGTATCTACCGAAACATCCCTCGAAAACAGTTTGAAATGGATTTGATGTTGACAACATTAGCCGTTTTTTTTGTGGATAGAGGCGTTGTTCGTTGTGCCACAACCGTCTTATGTTAAATTTAAATAAATGTTAGTAGCAATTGTGGTTGTTGTTGCTGGTTGTTAGGAAAAAACGATCATGGTGGCAATTGTGTTAACGTAAATGTAGATTTGTTAAATAAACAACGTCTTGTTGTCGGTTTATGTTGTTGTAACTAAATTTAAATCATCAGAAACGAACGGAGCGAACTCCACAAAAAGTAACAACTTAACGAACAAAGTTTACATTAACGACAAGTTCAACTACCGAGGTCCCTCTTTCTATCTCCTGTGTGAAATATACACAGAATTTAGCATATGAAAGTGGATTGAATTGGAAATAAGAAGACGTCCGCAAATCGATTTCCGGGGTTCGAAAAAATCGGTGAACCTGAAATTTCTGAAGGATTCACAGAACTATATGTTAAGGGCCTATCAGTGCTACAAGAATGAAATGTTTAATAATATTTTTGAGTTCCCTAAAATAAAGTTTTGAAGATGGTTGATTTGAGTATTTTTGGTGGGAATACTTTTTTTGTTACTTTGTTTTTTTTTAATAAAATATACTCCATCTCTATAACTGTCTAATAGAGTACTCCTATAGAATATTTAGAGAGGGAATACCACTACTTCCCTTGAAAGTCATATGCTTTGTTTTTTAAAACACTATTTTTGAATCTCTCAAAGGCTTGCAATATTTTGGAGACCTCTAATTTTTTTTCAAAAGTCCTTTAAAAAGACTTTGGAAAACAATTTTTGAAGACATCAAAGTATTAGGCTATCTTCCCATTTTTACTCAAATGGTCCTAGGACTAGATATTTAAAGTTTGCCCTAGCTTAAAGGAACTTTTTAAAATCCTCAACCTTTATGGAGTCCTCAAAGAACTAAAGTCGTCGAATTTTTAATAATTTGTTGAAGCTCCCCTAAGGCTTGAAGCCTTTGAATTTTTGAGGACCTCAAATGGCCATTGGCGTATATTTTGGAAAATTTTTTAATACCGTAATATTTCGATGTCATATTTTTTTGCTTCCAAAGGCCCATAGGCGTAGTATTTTTTGGAGTCTTCAAATGTTAGATTTGTTTGGAGGCTTCAAAGAAGAGAAGGCGTAGATTTTTAAAGGGAGTTTTTTGGGGGCTTTAAACAGGATAGGGTGTAGGAAGTTTTTTTTGAGGCTTTAAACAGGATAAGGCGTATCAAGTATCAAAGGCGTTGATTTTTAATAGAACTTTTTTGAGGCTTCCGACAAAACAAGGGGTAGATTTTTCAAGAGCGGTTTTTTGGAGACTTCAGGCAAAACAAGTTGTAAATTTTGCAAGAGCGGGGTTTTGAGAGACTTATAACTGACAATCCCACAGGCTGATTTGTAAAGAATTTTATTGGAGCTCTTTAAGGAACTTTACCAAAATCATATATTGATGAAGACAAAATTTTGAAGTCCTCAAAGAAAACATTTTGAGGTCCTCAAAGAACCAAAGGCCTATTCTTTTAGGGCTTTATAGGAATTTTGTGGAAGCCATCAAATAGTTAAAAATAATTTTATTAAAATCCTAAAGGATGATTTTTAAAGAATTTTATTGGAGCCCTTTAAGGAACTTTATTGAAGCCTTATATAGGCCATAGGCGTGAATTTTTTAAAGGCTCAAAGGCGTGGATTTAAAAAAAAAATTAATTAAAGCCCTAAAAGGCTCAAAGGCGTGAATTTTTTTAAAGATATTTATTGAAGATAGATTTTTTCGTTAAGGAAATTGTTTGAAGGAGAAGGAATTCCATTGAAACCTTAGAAGGGTCACAGGCGTGGAGTTTTTTTAGGAAATTTATTGAAGATCGATTTTTAATAAATTCTATTGAGGTCCTCAGACCTCAATAATATCTCAAAAACGATTTTTGATGTTTTTACAGTTCCACCTGCGTTGATTAATGATGGTCTCAAATAGAACTGATTTTTAATAAATTTTTGAAGAACAATAGTTTAAAGTGTCGAAAGTATTAACCCAATGGATATTTAAATAAACTTTTAAAAGTTTCAAAGAGTGCTGATTTTTAAGACATTTTTGAAAGCAACATAAGGACGTCGGTTTTTCATGGACAATTTTTTAAAATCCCTACAGCGACTGGTATGGATTTAAAAAAAAGAAAAAAATTCCTATTTGTGAAGCTCTCAAGTTGTAGATTTTTACAGAATTTGTTTAAGCTCATCGAAATGATTTTTTGGGAATGTTTTTGAGAACGAAACGAATTGTTAATAAAAGAGTGGTTGAATTCGTTTAACGGTAGTCTGCTGTTTGTTTCTTAAGTCTTTTGTTTAGAATATAATTTTTTTCTTCCAACTGACATTTCACCAAATTCTTAAACCTCCTTAGTTTTTTAAAAGAAATACCAATAAAAACATTAGGGTGTAGTTACATACCTGGATACGATGTATTGTACATATCCAATGCCTGGAGTATTAAAGTAAATGATTTCTGTAAAGAGAAAAAGACAAGAAACAAAAATAAAACGTTAGTATATTTAAAGTTGTTGCTGTTGTTGTTTTGTGTTATTTTATTGTAAAGCTATTGTATGTAAATTGTCGACAGGGAAACAAATAAAAAGGCGGGCTAATTTTCTAAACTTTTCACCATTTGCTGGCAGCAAGGTTACTTTGAGGTTAAATTATTTTGTCAATTTGTTACGGTGTTTTCTTTTCTATACAAAATAAAAAAAAACAACCACCAACAAAAAGACATTTACATGGTGGAACATTTCAACAGTAGCATGTTTTTCGTTTCATTTCAATTGTTAATGGACACATTTTCAAAGCTTTAACTTTTTGTTGCTGTTGCTATTTTAAATTAGCAACAGTAGGAGACGGGCATCATTAGCTGTGTAACATTAGTAAAAAAGGTTAAGTGGTGGGGTACATATTTGAAATAGAATAGTAGGAGAAGAAAACTAATTTAATTCAATTGAAAGTCGAGATTTTTGGTTTTGGCTTTAGAAAAGGAAAAATGGCTCTTCTTCCTCTGATTTTCGTGAAGTTGGTGTTAAAATGTAATTTTGTTAATTTTTTGTTCCGCACTTCAGGTATTGAGTTGCAAATTAAAATGGCGATTGCAACAAATTTGTATTGCAAACCAAGAATAAACGTGAGTTTTTCAAATAATTCTAAGTAAAATATTACAAAAAAACAAAAAGAAAATATTTTCTAGGCGCCTTAAGAAAACCCAAAAAATACTTTACAAATATGGTAGCCTCCATTGCAAGGAAATTCCACCATCCTCATCCAGCATTTATAATAAGCCAGGTTGCTGTACTTCATCTTCTTTTTGATTTTATTTATTTAGTTTTTTCTTGCCTTACTTATGAAAGTTTCCTGGCTTCCAGCTGGGTAACGTCGTTCAAACTTTAATTGCTTGGCTTCAATGATTATTTACAAGGCACGAGATATGGCCGACAACAACTAACCATAACAGCCAAGCAAAAAAAAAAAGATTTAAACTATTTCAAAGTCACAAAAACCACCATGGCAGGAAAGGCAGCCAAGCGGGTGTATAAATAGGTCTGCCAATCGCCACCGCCGCCATACGTTGAGTACCAAAAGAAAATCTAAAAAAAACTCGACTGCGATTTATCATAACGTGTTTGGTGAATCATGTTTCCACACCATCATGGATGGTCATAAATCTATTGTCTATCTTTGGCAAAAACTTATAGTTGTAACGATAGAAATAAAAAATAACAGCATAAGGAGATGGCCAAGGAAACGAGATAGGGAGGAAAAAACTAATGAACATCTTTGGAAAAGGCAGGTCTTTAAGTGGATGAAAATAAAATTCAAGAAAAAAATGCAAAAACTTAAAATAGGCTACGAGCGCTACAAGTGGTAATGTAGACTAACGAATTGCGATTTTTTAAGAATATTTTGAAGGACTCTAAAAAAATTATTTTTTAACAATTTGTGAAAAACTGTAAAAGCTTTGGACTTTTAAAACAATATTTTCCAAAGACTAAAAATCAATAACCAAGGACTCTAGAATACATATTGATTCAAGGCTTAAAAGAGATTTTTTCAAGGATTTAAAAAAAATTAGGGGCTCGTATAGCTTTATACGTGGATTTTTTAAATAATATTTTTTCAAGGATAATTTTGTAAGGGCTCGGTGATAATCGTGTATTTTGAAGTACATTTATTTAAGGATTCGAGGAGCTATAAATAAATATTTTAGACGACATGGGAGAGCTTTAAGCGTGGATTTTTAAAAATAATGTTCGACGATTTAGGAGAACTCTAAGCGTGGATTTTTTTAAAATTATTTTTGAAGGTGTATGAAAACTTTAAGCGTGGAGTTTTTAAATAAATATTTTTAAAGGCCTGGGAGAGCTTTAAGCGTGAATTTTTTATGTTCTGGGAGAGTTTTAAGGGTGGAGTTAAAAAAAATAAGTTTGAAGGTCTTTTAAAGCTTTAGGCGTGGATTATTATATTATATATTATGGGTTATTATAGATATATATATGGGCAATATTGCCAATTTTTTAATATTCCATTTTCAAAAAATCAGCTTTTTTGTTTTTGTGGCACATCAATGATTTTTGGTACACATATAGAGAAAAATGTTCTGACTCCGAAACCGTTCGCGATCAAATTTTCGGTTGATGCGCGCAAAAGTTATCGAGGTTTTAATTTTGGGCATAAGAAAAAAATCTTAAAATTACGCCGTTTATTATATTAACCAAAAACGCTGATATATATCTTCCTCCGTAAAATAAGAATATGAATATATTATAATAATCACGATAAAGTTGCACATCTTCGCGAAATAAGAGAAAAATAATAAAAATATAGCAGATTACATCAATATTTTCATTATATTAATGACATACACACATCTACAAATCAATTTAAAATATCTACATAATCTAAACACCATGATGAATCAAATGATATCAAAATCACACAAGTCCGTGTAGCGGTTTCTAAATCACAGCGGCAACAAAACAAGATATTGAGGAAAAATATTTGTTTTTGGTTCGAAAAAATAATGTCATCATATTTATTTTTTTAATTGTATACATGAAATTTCAGAAAAAAATGTTGGGGTTATTCTGCTATTTTACCCGAATTTCGCCGAAAAATTTACACATATATTATAATAATAACTTTTTGTGTATAAGTATACGCCTTGCGGATTATATCAAGACCCTTCCGATAAATCTTAGTATTCTATAAATAGGAATAAATCTTAAAATAAAATAATATTAAGAAATATACATTTTAAATTGCGTGTAAATCGCGTAATTCTCAAAATCATTTGATGCGCATGCGGTTTCCAGGATGTACTGAAGTTTATCTTCCATTTCATGTATATTTTGCGAAATTTCATTTGACGGCTAAGATGTGCCACACGTTGCATTGAAGTACCTAAAAAATCGTAAAACGCGAATAATTTCCGAAAACTCCATATGCCATTAACGCGCATCCGATTTCGGTGTGCACCCTAAAAAAATACATCGATCTATACCGATTTCAATGTGGTCCATTAAGAACCATGGATGTGCCAGCAAAATCTATTTTTGAGATAAATTGCGTACATCTCTCTTTCGGCTGAAGTTTTTAAAGTTATCTTTTCGAAAAAGATCAAAATCCGTATGAGGTCATTTATTGAAGCGGAAATAATACACAGAAAACGCAAATAAATCCGCGATATTTTCAAAAACATTTTTTTCCAAATTTCGTGTTTTTGGAAGGCCAGTTCCCGCGGCTCTAGTAGATGGATTTTCACGAAGAAGATTTTATATCATCCGAAACGTAAAAAACCTTATTGATCGCGGGTACCCATGTCATTCAGTTGACAGATCTAAAAATTTGGCCCGAAAAATAGGTTTTTTAGAAATTTGATCGCACAAAATTCGCACCTTCGGATGAGTATTACTCTGAAGCTGTGCATACTACATACACAAAATACATATCAAATTACGCAGATTCGCGACTACAATAATCTTATAATCGATTTTTATAAATTCCTGTTTGCGTATTAAAGCTAGAAGTAAAATTAAAAAAAACACTCAAAATCGAGCTTCAAAATGTCAGCATCATTTAAAGGTAGATGCAGTGAAAATTTTGAAAAATGATATATAAGGGGCGTAGTCTCCATTTTGTTGGCTTTTAGTTTTATTTTGACACGAAGACCGTGCAATGAGTGGCTTAGTCACAAATCGATAGAGAACACAAAAAAACTGGTTCGCCTCAACGTGTTTTTACACATTTTTTTACATTAAAGTAGACACAGCTTCCACCAAAATAAAGTTTGGAGGTCAATATCATGAACAGTTTGCAACGACAGTTCAATTTACCCAAAACTATTCACTTTTTTTCATATACTTAAGTAATTCCCGAGTTATAAAGGGGTGAACCTCCGCTTCAGCTATGTTAAAAACTTGGCAATATTGCCCATATATATATATATATATATATTTTTTTTTAAGATTGGATTTTTTAAATAAATATTTTTTAAGGTCAAGGATAGCTTTATGCTTGGATTTTTAAATAAATATTTTTTATGGTCTTAATTTTTTTAAAAAATATTTGAGAAGGTCTAGGAGAGCTTTGAGTGTGATTTTAAAAAAATGTACGGTCTAGGAGAGCTATAGGCGTGTTTTTTTTAATAATTTAGTTTTGAAGGTGTCGAAGAGCTGTAGGTGTGGATTTTTTTAATAATTTTATTTTGAAGGTGGATTGTTTTAAATATTTTGTTTTGAAGGTATCGATTTTGATTTGGAGGCCTATCAGAGCAATAGGTGTGATTTTTTTTTTTTTAATTCTTTTTAAAGGAAAGTAGAGTAATATTCGTGTTTTTAATAGCTTAATTGTGGAGGCCTATCAGAGCAATAGATTTTGGAGGCATATGCGAGGAATAGGCGTGGATTTTTTAATAGCTTAGTTTTGTAGGCATATGGGAGGAATATGCGTGGATTTTTTAATAGTCTAGTTTTGGAGGTATAAGGGAGGAATAGACGTGGATTTTTAATAGTTTAGTTTTGGAGGCATATGGGAGGAATTTTTCTAAAATCATTTTCGTCACTGATTCAATATTTTCATCGGTTTTTGAGTGCTCGACCAGGTTGAGCATCTTCATTGACATTTTCTCGGTCTTCCTTGAAATGTTTATAACACAATTGAACTTGTGTTCTGATCATAACCTCCAAATGCCACAGCCATTAATTTGAATACCCTTGCGGAATTACTTTTGTTTTTTAACCCAAACATGGAAAAAATAACTTCGATTTAGCCATGTTGGTGATTGTTATCTTTCGTTATTTTGAGAATTTCTGGAGAATTTCCAACGGAAAGACATTTTATTTCGCATACCCGTATTTTTGAGGTTATCAAACATCTATACCGGATAAAATTAAAATATGTAACTGTTTTTACGTAGGTAACACATAAAGGACCCGCATCATTTTAGGTATTTTGAAGTTTTTGGAA